TCTAAAGGAGAAATTCAGTATTTTGTTCTCTCTCAGTTCAGAGAGAAGCTTAGTGAAATAAAAGAAACGGTACTGGGACTACCAAGCCATTTTGAAGATTCTACTGTAATAAAGGCTTTTGACAATGAATGAGCAGCAACACAGAACAGTAAATCTGTGCTAATACTACTGTTCTCTCCCTTTGCTAAAATGAGTTTTGTTCTGCTAGTTTGGGAAAGCCTGACAAACTGTTCCAATCATCTTAGACACTATATTTAAGTTTTTATCTTTACAGACATAAAAAAGACTTGTTTTAAAAACTTTTGCCTTAAACACACTGCTCTCATGAAAGGTTGCTTGTGCTGCAGAACACAGACTGACCAAAAGAATAAACGTTGTGGCAACCAGTTTCTATGGAAGGTAATAAGCAAAAATCTTATTGCATCAGAAAGAAACTTCCTTGTTCCTACACTAATTCATCTGGTAGATAAAGAGGATAAACAAGACCAGTTGCATAGTCCTTTACACCCGTGGTACAGGACTGGGATGGATAGGAGTGAGTAAAGCACATGGTTAGTTGTTTCCAAAGAAATTTCCCTGTGAAATGCAAACCCTCTCAGAGACAGGCAAACTACCACTACAGACTGCAAGGCTTTCTCTTATCTCAAGGGGCACTTCACCTTACAAAGCCAGAGTCTAGGCTATTTAATCACACCAGCAGATGACTCCCAAGGCAGTTGCTGGATGACTATGTGCACAGCATTGCATACAGACCAGGCCGACGTGCCTGTGCCAACACCGGCAGCCAAACACAGAATTAGTCCATCCAACACAGAACTGCCTTGAAAGCTACACTGGACACGAAGCATAAAAAAAACAGTGATAAATTCAACTCCTAAAAATTATTTTCGATCTGTTGCACACAGTACCAGTTGTTTTACTGAGGTTTTCCCTCAGATGGCAAACAGGGTCATCTTCTTCTGGCTGCACTGAGGGTGACGTGCTGCTTAACACCAGGAGAATAATTGATAAAACCTCTCACAAATTACAACCTTTTCAGGGAAATCTTTAATCAGCATCTGGTTATCAACTGAATAATAAGGAATTATGTACCTGGGAACATAACAGTGACCTTGTAACACTGGGAATAGTCGGTACATGAAAATCGGCATCTCAGAATTAGTAACTTTGTAAGGAAATCATTAATTCACATCAGCTTATTACTAGAATAAAAATTAGCTAAGGAAGCATAACAAAACCAACCTTGAAACAATGGTAGTATTCTCCAGACGTAAATGGGCCCTTGACTGGCAAACTGCCCAAGGGAACATTCCATGAAAAATAGGGGCAAGCCAGCTAATGCCAACATCAGGGTGTAGGGGATCAGAAAAGCACCTGAGGGGAGAGAAGGGGAAAAAACACAATCACACAAACAGAGAAAACAATTTTTCAGTATTCACCACAGTTTTATCACCCCTTTTTCGCCTCCTCAAAAAACCTATAGGGTTTTTTTTTCAGGATAGAGAGATTTGTTTCTAAATCGTGTTTTCTACAAGACTGAGTACTACCTGCAATGAAGAGACACAGATAGTCAGAACTGATGATTTAAAAAGGAAGGTTTCTCTTATAGAAATAAAAGAATTTTACAAAAACTACTGAAGACATAGCACTCTTATACAAACAGGAACACTGTTCAGCTGTAGGCACTATCAGCCTTCTCTATTTCTATTTACTCTTCCAGCTTTTAAAAAGGAAGAGAACCATTCCTTTATGTACTTAGCTGTGATTTGCAACTGCCCTGTTCGAGCCGCTACTGGACATCAAAGCATGAAAGTTATTTTCTATGGTTGGCCGAGTCCTGTGTCAAACAGCATCTCAGTGTGTCACTTGTTCAGATCCCAGTGTGGCTCTTGTTCAAGTCCATTTTGAAGTGCAGGTTAACCTGATATCATTGAGCGTCCTGTTCTGTGAAAAGGACTGGCACTTCTTTGTATTTTCACAGAAGATGGGAAAAGTGAGAGCACAAGTTGCATAAACAAAACCCGATATCCCTGCAGAAATCTGTCCTGGTCACTCTCAGTGAATTTAAAGCAGCCAAGGACCCAGTTCTGCAAGGAACTGCAAATACCTGATGTAATTTCGGGAAGTAAACCGTCCCACAGAACTAACTGGATTACTCCTGTGTTTCAAAACAAGGATGTAATAGTTGTCTTTATCAATCACGGGCAAGGAGCACAGAGAAGGATGCAAGCAGCAGCACAAATATGCTTCAAATGCAAAGTTTTCTGCTGCAGCAGATAAGGAAAAAGATCTAGTACAAGGTTGATGTCACAACTTATTTTGTTTTCACAATTTTCTTCAACAAAATGCAACCTGGCCAAGCTCACTCCAATAAAACTTCTGTTCTAAGACTGCCTCTTTTTGTTCCACAAGCACAGCTCTATGGGCTGTGCTGTTTACAGTCCAGAATTTGACTTCAACAACTGTTAAACAGAGCAAATAGGTACACACAAGTAAGTTCTGTGCAGTTACTTAGCATTTATGCTCTCTTTAATTACCAGTGGTAGCCTAGCAAGTAGATAAAGCTCTGGAATATCAGCCAGGGAAGCCAGTGCCTCCATTTGGTTTTGCCACTATTTCATTTTGTAAGAAGATAGAGGCTCTCTCTGTCTCATACTTCTGATTGGGATAATTATTGAGCTTAGATAATAATTCTGGCTTAGCTTGTTTGCATGGTAAAACAAAGGTGCAGAAAGGATTCAACTGTTCTCTATAATATACCAGGGAGGTAAGCACTGGGGAGGGTGAATAGCTATTTAGGTAAGCAGAGGATATTGGCACATTGACAAAAAGGTCCATATTGGTTGTGAGTAAATCAGAAGAGTTCTGGAACTCTCAGGTGGAAACAAGCAGTTAAAACTAAATACTATTTCCCTCCTCAGCTGGTGCCCAAAAAAACCATAGATGTCTCTTGCTCCTTTTCCCTTTCCAATAGCAGACACTATCCCAGTTCCCAGGGTGATTCTCACATCCAGCTTTGAGAAACGTTTCCAGCCTCAGGGCTGGCCCTTGGAGCTTGTCCTCCTCTCCCCTGGGGACAGCAAGGTGTGCCCACCCGACATTGCCATTCAGCACAAGTACCTCCGCCGTTCTGGTAGGTGAGGTAGGGAAAGCGCCAGACGTTGCCCAGGCCCACGGCATAGCCCACCATGGAGAGCAGGTAGTCGCCTTTGCTTGACCAGTTGCCACGCTCCTTGTTCTCATCACCATCACTTCCATCACTGGAGCGGGAATCTTTTCCATGTGACAAACTGAAGTCCTTGGAAGAGAAGACGGAAGGTTTGTGATCACCCCACGGGCAAGCAGGACAATTGTATCCACATTTCTCTGTCCAGAGCAGCACCTTGGCTGTCCAGGGCAGCTAGACAGGGAGGGCAGAGCCAGGTGGGCTGCCAGTCCAGCCAATCCCTGGCAGGTCAGCATAGACCTGTGAGTGAGGGTCCCACCTGAGAGCCCAAAAACCTTCATGGTGAGTTTTGCCCTAGTCCTCCTACCTTAATACTCCTTGCTGGATGCTCGTAGGGGCAGCATCTCCAGGGAGTTAGAATACTCTGTTCCACCACCACAGGGCCAGATGCCCACATATCTGTTCAGATGTTCACAACAGTACATACTTGTATATCCACTTTAAAAAACTCCTGTCCCAGCACATTTCACAAACTCCTAGGTGCTCATCCTAGCTCATCTCACATTACCTACCACTGTGCCCTATATTCCCACATCTATCTAGATCTCACCTGCCCAGACAACTTCATACCTGCCAGCACTCCCATAGCTGCCAACGTACCTGCAGCCTCCATACTCCACCTGCTCAGGTGCACCCACACCTGTCTGCATTCTCCCACACCTGCCTGGGTGCCTCCGACCAGCCACCCCTCGCCTCTCACCTTCTTCTTCCCGCAGGACAGAAAGCCGGGCAGGCTGAGCATCCCCATCTCTGCCGCCGCCGCTCCGCTCTGCCTGCGCCGGCCGCCGCCCGGCCCTTTATCGGGGCCGGCTCCCGCCCGCCCCTCGCCGCCCTGCCGGGAACCGCGGCCCCCGGGCTGCCCCGGGGGCGGGAGGCGGCCCCGCCCGGGCCGCGGGGCAGCCCCTCGGCTCCCGCCTCACGCCCAGCCCCGTGCCCGCTTCCCCGCCGCACCCCGCCCGCTGACCCTCCTCCGGCCCCGCGCCCACTTCCTCGGGACACTCACCTGCCGAACCCTGCCCGGCCACCTGCCCACTTCCCCTCCTAAACACCCCCTGCTCTCCACACACCCTCCGCTCCTCGCCTTACCCACTTCCCCTGCCCAAGAACCCGCCTGGGCTCGCTCCCCCAGTCTGGGCTCTTCAGCCGTCCTTACACGCCTTCCTGCTTGCCTCTCTGTCACTCACCTTCCCTTCTAGCATGCCCCCTACTCCTTGCCCTTCTCCCTCCTCTACCTGCACACCCACCCCCTTGTCTTCTACCTACAGGCTGCCAGCTCCCCATCATGCACTGACCGCCTCCTGAGGACCATGTGCCCATCTGACATCGGTATGTCCCTGCGCCTCCCCACAGAGCCACTGCCTGTCTGCCTCACCTACGGTCACTCACCCAGAGACCCTGCTCCACCCCGCCTGCCTCTCTCTCATTCTTTCTTAGCCTGCTCCGTGCTGGAGTGCAGGCTCAGAAGATGCAGGGCACAAGGGGGTTAAACAGAAATTTCAGCCTCTAAACACACCTCTCAGGTACACATGACAGGCACAGAGGGCAGGTCATAAAAGCAAAGCCATCTCCATTGGAGGAATTTGAGCAGAAAGTACTTAAGGACCTTTTCCAAACTCCCCTGCTTCACCCACCAAAGTGACTGTGACATCTCACCCTTAAGGGGAAGGGATGTCACAGTGACATCCCAAGCGTTCCATAAGGTCACGCAGGAGGATACTGCTCAAAGCACACTCCATGTACAGGCACAAGAAGACGTCGATTGACTGGTCACTTAATTGCTATTAAGAAATCCTCTATTTCTAAATTGTCTTTTCCATGGCTCTTTCAGATCCACACCGTGACAAACACACTTTCTGTCCTCAATTATTTGGGCTTTTTGTTGAGCAAAGTGTTACCCAACATCTCTCAATCTAGCCACAACTAAAAGGTATACCAGGAGCGAGAAGTGTGTGGGATATCATCTGAAGGCGGGATATTTTATCACCCTATGCAGCAGGTTCTCTAGAAGACTTCTATTTTAGATGCTGGAAAGAAACCAGAATAATCTTGGCTTTGGAACAAAAAGCACGTACAGGTGTAACGTCCTGACAGGACACAGGCTTTGGGAGAAAACGATACATAAAAATTAAACAAAACACTCCTTTACAGGTTGCCTGTGAATTCAGCATTCAAGTGACCAAGACACAACATCAAATAGAGACCTTCAGGCTAGTTCTTCATGGAATGATACAAAACCCACCCGGACCAAGGATACACTGAGAAATCAGTCCATATTCTTCCAAACCCCGTCTGAACTGTATATAAACCAAAGGCACCTTTTTGACAATCCTGATCAGAGTTAAGAATTTGAAATAAAGTGAGATAACATGATTTTATTTTAGGTTCTGTGTAACTCCAGTATCTGTGGGTCACTATCTCCCCAAGGGGAAAAAAAAAAACAACTTACCTGTAAACAATGCTGGGCCTAACAAGAGCTCCAGGTTCTCTTCCAAACTCATAATTCAGAACTGGTTATCATCTTGTTTAGAAATGAAATGACATTTAAAACAACCTGTTAGCCGCAGCCTCTCCTTCCATACTAGGATTAAGTGAATGTGGTAATGCTGCATAGTCACTGGCTGTGTCATTCTCTCTATGGAACTGAAGATGACTACAAGTAAAACTATACTGGAGGTACCACTTCTCTGATACGTTCTGTTTCTGACCATGTGAAAGTTTCATTTGTAATGCATTTTCTCTAGGGGAAAAAGTAAAAATCATAGCATGGTGATAATTCTGGGGTTGAGCAGCGGAGAGATGAGTATCATGGCAGAGAGGACTGTGCCTGAAGCAGGGTTGTGTTTTGCCTCTGATAGCTATGCGGCTGAACAGCACAGCAGTTCCTTTTGCATTCACTGGAGGCTGAGTTCATCAGATTGATCCCTGAAGGCTAGCTCCTCACAGCTGGCATAGCCACCCACTGACCAAGCAACCCACCAGCCAGGTACATGTGGAATGTCTCAGTTAGAAATACAGAAACATCAACCAGCAAATCAGAGCCAGCTTGGCTCTGCTGTGGACAAGATATCCTGTCTCCTGACCAGCAGCCTAACTAAGGTCATATTTTTCATTTGGAAAGCAGTCCTGGATTACTATCAATTCCACTTACTGAAAATTCTGTTAATCTAATGGGGAGGGGAAAAAAATTAAAAAAGGAGAAAAATTAACACTAATGATAATCTTTACAAGCTGACAACACAGCAAACAAGTTTGATATATTTCCTAGGAGCAGCGAGATACCTGTGTTTTCCATTTGGTTGCACTAGTGCTATTATCAGATGTTGGATATTGCCATTAGCTGACACAAACAGCTCTGGTGATGCAGTAGATGTGTTTGATGTGCTTATTTAAGAATACGATGAGTAAATTCTGTTCTTAACCTATAACTTCTGCGATACTAATATCGGCACCTGGCCCACAAATCCAAAACTGATTCAGCAGACAAAGTTGGGGCTCCTTTACCTCTGCCATTCCCGACTGGCAGGAGACCAGAAAACCCACTTTGCAAGTAGTAGCAATGGATTTAGAAGGCACTAATCTTGGCATCAGTGATAAAAGGAAGTTGCTGGTGTGTCTACAAGAGAGGCAGCTCTCTCTAGGATAAAACGATCCAAAAGAGGAGCAAGAATGAATACAAGAGATGCCTGCAGCCTTGTCATCTCTGATGTGCACAACTCTTGGAAAACAGTAATGAATCTCCAAACAAATCAGGTTTTCTTTCAGCCAGAGAAGATCAAGCCACAGTGGCAGCTGCATGTAGAAGTGTCCATCTACCAGAAGAGAATCATATAGTTAAAAATAGCACCTGCCCTAGCTGAGGCCCCAAAATAAGCAAAAGCCAAAGTGCAGGAATAATTATTGGTGTTCTGCAAGGCTAACAGTCAGACCCACCAGCAGCACACAAGGATGCTACATGAAAAGCTGACAAAGCTGGGTTTGACTGCCTGCTGATCACTACATTTAATCTGTGTAGATCCCTGCCACAGGAATGAAATGGCCCACATCTGCCATTGTGGAACGCCTGTGAGGGCAGCTCCATGACACCTGCTCCATGGTACCCAGCACGGTGTTACCTGCTCCACACCTCAGAATGACAAGGTATGTGCCAGTGTGCATTAGATGGTCATGACAAGGGTGTTGGTACCTTCCCTCAAAGCCAAAGATGGCAGTGAGGGACTACACTGTATTTACTGAAACAACCGCCTCGCATTTTATTCCAGCATCAGAACAGCAGCTTCCCTGCAGCTACAGACAAACATCAGGTAACCAAATGGCAGTAAACACAGCAACTAGGAGAAAATAAAACACTAAACAACCTGAATACCAAAAAAGCCCCCTCAAACAATAACAACAAAAAAATCCCACCAGAAAACCAACCAAAGAAACCCAACAAACCAAAGAAGCCAAAATCATCCTACCATGTTGGTCTTCAGGATCTTAGGAAGATGACTTTAACCATCTAACCATCTGTCAACAGCATATAATTACTCTCATCCACAATTCCACAGCAACATTGTACTCTGTAGGAGGGAGGTTCAGAAAGCCAGACAGGACTGTTATAAATGGAGCAGGAATTATCCTCTCCTCTACAGGTGAACAGGATCAAGCCCTACAGTTAACATTTAAATTAATACTTTATGCTTAAGAAAGCATCAACCTTGATTTAAAGGCAAAGTCATAATGAATGAGACAATGTCTTTGGTGGTGAACTGAACTACAGGTGATTTAGGCCAAACCTTTGCCACTAATGTAAAAAAAAAATCAATCATTGGTCTAGTAAACCCTGAAAGCGAGGCATCATTCTCCATCTGGTAAGAAACGTCTTTTTTCACTGTGAGCCAGCTGTAAGCAAGATGTAAGTGTACCTAGAAGCAAGAAGTGGCCCTCCTGCTTAGAAGACAGAGAGGCAATGATGGTATTGTCAAGGAAACAGACAAATTACAGAGACAAAGGCAATGTTTTCTGCAGTGGCCATCTGTGGCACTTGTGGAAGCACACTGTCAGGGTTTACAGCAAAACACAAAGAGTGTGGAAATTACTTACTGATGAGGCCTCATGCCAGGACTGGCTTGCCTAGTTCTAATGGTCTCCATCCAACAGTTTGTGCAACTTTGACAACTGAGGTATGAAGCAGATTGTGCTTCCAACTCTGCTGATCCCCTCAGGGTAAGGGGTGAATTTTTGCTCATGGGAAAAGGAGATGAGATATTATATATCCTTCCTTGATCTGTTTTAGTTCTTTATCAGTTTTGTGCTTTTCTGCATAACCAGGATGTTCATTGCTGCTGTTCAACAGGCCATCAGGACACGCTCATCTACTCAATTTGGATCTCAGCCCACGAGTTCGTTTTTATTAAAAGGAAATTCTAAAAAAGTTTCATTCAGAAACTTAGGCGACATTGAAAGTTTTCAGTAATGTGCAATAGGTTTGGTTCACTAACATAATACTAAATAATACACTCTATTATGCATTATGCAATCATACTAAAGACCTGTATTGGCCTAATCTCAAGGACCGGTGCTTTATTAGATTTTCCCCCCACTTCAGTACTTTTGGATTCTTCTCTGCAGCCATCTCAGAGGTGAGAAGTACAGCGAGGTCAGTCCTACTTGCCTCTATGGACAGTCTGTTATCATGAGTCAAAAGACGTAGCTGAAAGACGTAGCTGAAAGCTTGCTCACTCATTTACCCCCTTGAAACAGAACAGTCGCAAAAGTGCTATAAATGCAAATGCTTAAACCTTCAAAGTCGTGCTCCTAGGATGGGTGGAGACTTGAAACTATATGGAAAGCAAATTTGCCTTCAGGCATTTTTAACAGGTTGCAACCTGAAAATTGTTAATATAATACACACTAATCAAGTTAGTGATGGGGAATTTTTACATATGCATGTGGGAAAAAATTATTAGGCAGAAATAAACTCACTCAAATATATCAGTAACACTGAAAGTTCTACAGGACTGCTCTTCTACTACACTGAGCCTGGAAGAAGATTTTGCTGTCCCAGCCACTCAAGAGGAAGCCACAAGTCTCCATCCACAAAACTTACCAAGGTGTTTTCAAGACTCTTGGCAAGATTGACAGTTTTGTATCTATGGTAAATTGATCTCCATTCTAGTTGATTTTATTATTTTTAAGTTTTAATTGAAAAGAACCTGAGAGGAGACTCAAGCCTCTTCGAGAATTGTTAGATGGAATGTGCTCCTCAAACACTTCACTCTCTCAGACCAAAACTCTTCCCAGGACAACATGGCCTTTCTTGTAACACTGTCTCTCTCCAGTCCCTGAGAGCTCATCAATCTGTCAGAGATTACTAAAGTTGCCATACAGGAATATATGATAGTTCTCAGTCACAGAGCTCCCTCTAGAATAAGGAACAAAGAAACCAGAAAGGGACTAAGATGTTCAAAGTAGGATTGCATAGAGGCTAGGTGTGTGTATCAACTGCAGAACCCTCTGAAAATCTCAGCTGAAATACTGACTTGAATTGGAGTTACCAAAGTGCAAAGAACAACTGCATTTGTGGCCCACGGCTCTCAGTTCCCCTAGTTTTGCTTCCGCTTGTGGTACAGAGCATCTCAGTTTTCCCTGAATCATGCAGCCTTGTGCCAAAAAAATATCCAAGTCTCACTCCACCTGCCTCTTCCCTGACTGTCCTAGAGGCATGCTCTAAACACGTTCAACTTGTCTTTGAGCAACTGCAACACTGTGTAAATGCAAAACCATCCCGTATTGTATCATGGAAGACGTAACAACCGATACAACAAATATAAGGGAAGAGATAAAGTAGGGGAAAACAAAAAGCTGGGAGCGTGCAATTATCAAAACTTAATGATCGGGGAGAACACAGGTGTCAGAATATAATGACTTGCCTATTGGGAAATATTTCAGAGGTGGGGCCAGTAGAAACTAAGGAGTCATTTTTAATTGAGCAAAATAAAGCCTAGGAGTGAGTATAATACTTATTTTCAGATATGCTATACTGAGTTCATCAATCTCATTAACAGTTAAATTTTTAAATTCTTCCCCAGTATCAAGTACCAATATTTCTGGAGTTCAGCAAAGCTAGGAGATGCTGGCAGGTGGTTTCAGTTTTCTTCCCCAGCCCTCCCAGTTCTATACCTTCTTGCTAGTTACACAAAAAAACAGCTTTTCACAGAAGATAACATAAATGCATAGTCTTGAGAAGCTTTTGACTAACAGTAAGTCTTTGAAATACAGGTATTGACTACTACATAGCAAAAAGAAGACCTTTCAGCTCAGTCCATCTTTCCTTGAGGTAATTTTACATATTAACATGCAGTCCTGATATGTGATCACCAAGAGTATTATCTTT